TTATTAGCCAAATGTTAACTTTCAGTTAGTAATTTTGTTAGTGATTTTGACTGGGCAACATGATATTGACTTGGAAGAGATACATGAAGGTCAACATTCCAAAATTTTAGTATTTAACTAAGAAAAAAGTTACAAAATTATTAACGATATCGTAAAAATGGCATATATTGATACTACGAAAGATTTGGCTACTTAATAGCATTTTAATAGGTTTGGATAATATAAAAGAATCTGAAAAAAGTTTGGATAAAAAATAGACATTACCCTTTAATTTATTATCCTGTTTCTATCCTAACAAAACCAATAGTGCAACAAAATAATTTGCAACCAACAAAGCATTTTTTTTTTGGTACGAGCCATGCATAGTACTTTCTTTACAAAAGGTAACGACTCCATAATTCAAAATTTTAGGTTAATTACAAAGAATCATGTCGATGACCGACGAGATGGAGTCGTCCATCTGGGTTGGTATGTGCCGGTTGCGAACGAAGGGGAAGAGAGTTGCGACTCATGCTTGAAGGCGGTAGCTCCGATGACAACGACATGGAATGATGAGAGTTGGGTGGAGATGACGTGATGGATGACCCCTCTTCACCGCTTGTGAAATTTTGGAAATAAAAATAATTCCAGGGTGGAAATGAAGCAATGATAGGGGAAACAAATAATAAAAAAAGGAAAGATTGAAGTGGGTTTTAAAAAAAAGAAGCAAGGACATAATTGGAAAATTGAGGCTAAATAATGAGGCATTTGGAACTTACTCGATAGAGTCGATTTGGTCTTTCGTATAAAAAAATAACTCATGCATTTTTCGTTAGCAAAAGAGTCATTTGGTACCAAATGAATCGAGCAAACGACCCCTTAAAGTTGTTTAAATGTTTTCAGCTAATTTACTCTGTGATGCCAACTCTCGTTGCCACAACAACATATAAAAAAAATTAAGGGTCTTTTCACTTTCTTTTTCTGTTTTCATTCCATAAATTTGGCAACAGGAACAAGAAAATATGTTTACTTTTCGTTATGTTTTCTGTTCATTTCCAACTATGAAAACAGAAAGTGGTAGCTTCCTGCTATTTTCGAAAACGACAAAATGTTGTTTCCACTAGTTTCCAACATGTTTTGTCATATTTTTAACGAAAAAAATGTTTTCCCCCGTTGAATCAGACGCTTGCATTAATCTCTTGCCAAATTGGCTAATCTGATACAACTAGTCTTCATCCCCACATCGGTAAGTCTTCATCCAGACTACCCAAATAGTCCCTGACTCCATTAAGAACAATCAGAGCATTCTTCCCACACACACAATGTTCCATGACATCAGATCTTTAACTCCCATCCCACCTTCCTTCTTTGGTTTAGCTACCCTTCCCAAGCAACTTTGGCTTTTCCTTCCCCATCTCCATGCCACAGAAAGTTCAAACACACTCTATACAGTCTCTTTATCACCTTCTTAGGCAGCAAGAAAATCTGCATCCAATATTGAATTATGCCCATGAACATTGAAGACACTAGCTCAAGTCTCCCAACATAGGATAGTTTCTTTTCCCTCCGCGTCTTAATCTTCTTGGTAAGTTTATCAACTAAACAATCTACTTCTTTAATTAGAAGACAACTTTCCAGTTAATAAAGACAACCCCAAGTATCTACCCGGCAAATGACCCTCCTGAAACCTAGTAAGTTGCAAAGCTTTTGCCTTATACTTTACTGACTCCCCTCCAAAGTAAACTTTACATTTTGTTGGATTGCATTTCAATCCGATAACCTGTAAAACTCTTCCAGAAACATTTGCACTCTTCGAATAGCTTGCCCTCATCCAACTGTAAAGATTAGTAAGTCATATGCAAAGCTAAGGTGATTGAGACTGATTTTCTTGCATAGAGGGTGGAAAGGAATTGTGCTAGCCACTGCTTCCTGCCTCATCAGACCCGAAAACCCCTCCATAGCAATGGTAAATAAGTAAGGCGATAATGAATCACATTGTCTAACCCACTTCTGAGCCCTAAAAAACCCACACAAACCCCTCATTGATATTAGTACTATAATGAGCTGTTTGTAAGCAATCTGCGTATCCAATTCACAAATTGGTATGGGAAAGCCATCAGTTTAATCATAATTAAAAGATAATGACAGCTAACTGAATCGAATGCTTTCATGATATCCACATTGATTTCACATCTAGAAGATAAATTTCTTTTACCAAAATAAAAGAAGATAAATTTCTGTTATCTTTACCAAAATAAAAGAAGATAAATTGGTATGAGAAAGCCATCAGTTTCATCATAATTAAAAGATAATGACAACTAACTGAATCGAATGCTTTCATGATATCCACATTGATTTCACATCTAGAAGATAAATTTATTTTTACCAAAATAAAAGAAGATAAATTTTGTTATGATACCCACTTACCAGCTCCCGAGCCATGAATATATTATCCATGAATCTTCTCTAGTCAACTTTCAAGTTCCTTTCTTAGCCGTCTTATTCTGAATGCCCTCTGAAAGAATCCTGATGATAACCAAGAAACTCGTTACTTTTGCTAATAGAAACTCTCTAATGCTTTCTGCACTTCATCATATCTCACTCGACAAGTATTTTCTTAATTTTGTTAAAAATATGTTTATACATGACACAAATATTTTTTTTTATAGGAACACGGGTTGGGTAGGGTTCTACGGGTTGTGTATCTCAAAATCCTAAGTCAACCCAAAAGAGGCAGGTTGTACAAAAGAAAACCCTCATCCAGCCTTGAACCTTAATAATAGTGAGAAATATGGGTGGGTTGGGTCGAGTTGGACAGATGGATCGTTTTGCGGGTCTTTTTGTTCATCCCTAAAGAAAAGAGTCTACACTTCTGAAGATTTGATGGCACCTGACAAGAAAGATCCTTCTAAACTCTACAAAACAGGGAGGGTTATTACTTGCAAAAGGTGCAAGCAAAAGGGACACAATTCTCAAAGTTGTAAATATGAGATTCCATATGAGGTACACACTTAATTTTCAGCGTGTCATTTATTTTTTATTCCTTTTAATACATGTCTAATAAATCCTTCTTAGGGAGTTATTCACTCAAGTCATGTAGAAGGCCAAATTGGAAGGGCCGAGACCAGTGCCCAATAGGAAAGGAGACCAGTAAAGAAGAAGAACAAACCGTTTGTAGGGGTGGGTGTACACCACAGTTCAAGCGATTTTACAGTTATGGATGTAAGTACCTATAAGAATCACATCTAACGCTTTACATTCAGGCCTTTAGTCATTAAATTGATGAATTGATTTGTTTTCACTGTTAATATCTATAGCCTGGCTTGAGAACTAGGGATGGCAACAAAACCCGAACCCACGGGTACCCACCCGACCCAACCCGGTCAACGCGGGTAAAATCCGTGTTGATGGGGTTTGGGCCGGGTTTGGGTTTAAACCCGTTCACTATTCACCGGGTTGGGTTGGGTTTGGGTTTAGGTAAACCCGACCCATGGGTACCCCCCACACCCTTATAGTTAATTTTCTCGGTATATTTAATATTCTAAACATCTAATCTTATTTATGTTTGTGGAGACATGTCTAATTTTTTCCTTTCAAATTTTGTAGAATGAAGTTGATGTTATCGAGTGGAGAGTGAAGAAACTTAATTGAAAAGAAGAAGCTTTCGATTAATCGTGTTATTTATGGATAATTTGTGATTTGCTTCAATTTTCTTGAGTTTTCTAGATTGGTGTTGAACAATTTGTATAGTTAATTTGTGATTTACTTGAATTTTCTAGAATGGTGTTTTATATATGGATAATTTGTATTGAGAGATTGATATTTGACTTTAATTTTGATAGAAACTTGTTATTGTAAATTTTTTACGACAAAAACCCGTGGGTACCCATAAACCCACGGATACCCAGCGGGTTGGGTTGGGTTTGAGTTTTTCAAACCCAGTGGGTTTTACTCCGGGTTTTTTTCACGGATAAACCCATGGTTATGGTTTGGTTTTGGCAAAACCCGACCCAACCCGACCCATTGCCATCCCTATTGAGAACCAGAATGGTGATTGAAGTCTCTTGACCACAAACAAGAAAACAAGGTGGATTTTGTGCAAGGCCAAGTAGAGACGGAGGAAGTGGACATGGTGGCACCCAAGAGAGCACAACTACATTTTATTAGCTTAGTTTTGGATATTAGGGAGAAACTATGGAAGTACAATTAGCAGATAAAAGGGGAAACTGAATTTAAGCTACGAAGATGAATTTATGTACTGCATCACTTGTGTTTTCATTTAGAATCATATTTTTCACTTGTGCATCATGAGCTATGAAACAAAATTTTGCGTCCTGTAGCAGGAATGCAAAATTTTGTGTTCTACAGCTTCGAAACAAAGGTACATAAAGATTGAAATTTAGTCTGCGGTGAAGTAAAAACTTAACCAAAATGATATGTTCATTCTACACGTACACCAACACTCAAATTTCAAAGGATCAAATAATCAAACACACAACCAAACCCTCTTTACTAACTCTGTACAACCATGCTTTCTCACTCATTCATTATGATCCAAAAGTTCTACCCGATCCAATCCTCTCCAAAATCGAGAAAATGGGTTCTATAGCTAATGAACCATGATCATACAACTATTTTCAAGGAAACATATATTAGATGTCGAGAATATCAGCAAGATGTGTGTGAGGCATCCCACCGCCTGTAAGGCTGGAGGCACGCGTTGTGCTATATATGAATGTATGGATGTATGATTGTGATAGTTGATTAATGATAAGATGAACCCCCGGACGGTTGGGTCACTACTGGACGGCGAGGCGTAACGCAGTAGTTGACGGGCATGGACTGGACGGCGAGACGTAATGCAATGTCATTGCCGAGTTTGGGTATGCAACCGGACAGCGAAACGTAACGCGATTGGCATACTAGGGTAGGGACACCGGACGACGAGACGTAATGCGGTGGTTCCTTGTGTTGGTGTCTTTGGATTAAGAATATAAATAAGGAATTTCTAAAGATAAGATAGAAGTAGAGATCTCTTATAGACTGTTTGATAAGAAAGTATAAAGGATGAAAGCAAGAATAACTTTGTCTAAGTCAAGAACCCGAATAATGTGTTTAGCAAGGAGTTTCTTAGGGCGAAGATCTTAGGAAGTAACGACGAGACTAACCCCTTCTCACTCACCAGGTGCAGAGAGGGGAAGATGACGCATCCATCAAGAAGAGGTTACTTGAGGAGAGCAGCCGCGACAAACCTAAAGATGTCAATTGGATCTGGGTAACGAGATGGGACCTCCCATATATCTGTCTTTAGTTTCATGTCTTAATGAGTATACTGGGAAACTCAAGGATTGTGTTTTATGTTTTGTTGCTCTGGGTTGAGGTCGCTCAAGTGTTTAGGGCATTTCACTTGAAAATCTTAAACATTGTGGTTGTTGATTTTAGTTTTGACTTGTAAACCTGTTTTGGGTTGCTCCGGAGTAACCGGTTTGTGGTTTGAGTTATGGTTTGGTTTTCAAAAAGGACCAGGTCGTTTCAAAGACGAGGATGGATGGTTCTCAAAGTTGACTTGGAAAAAGCTTATGAAAGGATCAGATGGGGTTTCGTCAAGGATACCCTGGTGGCCGCGGGTGCGCCGGCCGATTTCGTTAACCTGACGATGGCCTGTATCACCTCATCGAAAATGCAAATCCAGTGGAATGGGGGGGCTAACCGAAGAGTTCCAACCTTCACGAGGCCTACGACAGGGATGTCCTCTCTCTCCCTATATTTTTACTCTCTGAATGGAACGTCTTGGTCACTTGATTGATGCATCGGTGCAAGCAGGTAGGTGGCAGCTCATAAAGCTTACCAACAACGGGCCTCTCTTGTCACACCTCTTTTTTGCATATGACTTAATCCTTTTTAGAGAGGCTACCAGAGAGCAGGTGCAGGAGATTGCAACTTGTTTTGAGATGTTTGGGGTATCCTCAGGCCAGCAAGTTAGTAGACCTAAATCCCGAGTCTTCTTCTCGGTCAATTTAACTGATGACCGTCGTCGCAGCCTCAGTGATGAGCTGGGGATTCCGGAGACGAATAACTTGGGTCGATATCTTGGTGTGTCGGTGATCCATGACCGGGTCTCCAAAGCAACCTTTACAGAATTGATTGATCGGATCGACGCTCGCCTGGCTGGGTGGTTAGCATCATCCATGTCAATGGTAGCGCGTATCACCCTCGCGTAGTCGGTTCTCTCGGCATTGCCAGCCTATACAATGCATACGACTTTCTTACCGGCTAGTGTAAGAGATTACATTGATAAGAAGATATGCGCATTTATTTGGGGGAGCTCGGAACATGGACGAAAAATCCACTTGGTGGACTGGGAGACGATCTGTAGACCGAAGGAGGAGGGCGACCTTGGACTCAGGGTTGCTACGCATACTAACGAGGCATACATGCTCAAGATATTCTGGCGACTTCTCACGAATCCGGATGACCTTTGGGCACGTGTCATCCTAGCAAAATATTGCCGCTAGACCGAGGAGGGGTTACAACTCAAGACCAGCGGAAGATTATCCAACCTGTAGAGGGGTGTGCTCCGAGTCAGTCATTTGGTGGAGGATGTTACTGCATGGAAAATCATAAACGGGCGGGTGGCTAGATTCTGGAGCGACCGATGGCTAGATAATTCTACCATCCTTCGGGATCATGCTCCTAACCTTCCCCCAGAGATGGAGTCTTTGCCCGTGGCGGAATTCATTCTAAATAGTGAGTGGAACGAAGTGTATTTACGTGCTTACTTACCGGAGGAATTCATTCGCAGGTACAACTCCACCTGGTACCGACCGAGACCGAACCTGACATACGCGTATGGCCTCTCACACCAAATGGCGACTTCTCCCTTCGCACGGCGTACGAACTCACACACACGGTGGACGACCCGATCCTAAACCAGCCAATTTGGAGATCCATCTGGAGAACACCGACATTGCAGCGGGTGTGCACTTTCCTCTGGCTTCTCAACCATGATCGCCTGCTGACGAATGCGGAGAGAGGACGAGGCATTTGACCGACGATACAAGTTGCAAGATCTGCGGCGGGGGCCCGGAGACTACTATCCATGTGATTCGGGATTGCCCATTCGCAAGAGCTGCTTGGGCGGGACTCCTTGAAGACGAGCCAGACACTAACTTCTTCGAGCCTGACAGCCAGCGGTGGTCTCTGCACTACTTATCAGGGCGCAGTAATATCATTGACAACACTCTTTTTGCAGGAACATGCTGGCTTTTGTGGAAGAATCGGAACGACTTCCTATTCCGGAGCGAGCTGAAAACCCATGAGCAAATCCAGTTAATCACCAAACAGCCTTTGAACAGGAGAGTACTATATTTGGGGTTGGGGGACTCCGAGAGTGGCGGGACATCAACTGGCATCCACAGCCGAAGGGATGGGCCTGTATCAACATATATGGCTCAGTCACTCACTCTCCTGTGAGCATGACCTGTGGCGGCATCGTGAGGGGAGACTATGGACGCTTTGTCAGAGCTTTCACAGCGAACTTGGGAGGGGGTTCGATTACTCGTGCAGAGCTAGCTGGGATTGCTTTTGGGTTGAGGCTGCCTTGGGAAGAGGGGGTCAGGAAGGTTATTCTGCAAACAGACTCCTGCACTGCGAAGATCCTGATCGAGAATGCTACTCCACAACATCCACACTACACCTATGTTGCAGAAATCCGCGCTGGCTAGTTCGACTGTGGCTTGTCATGATAGAGCACGTTTACAGGGAAGGGAACTTTGTGGCTGATCACCTCGCTTCCATTTGTCACTCTTTACCCATAGGGGTTCACGGGATACAAATCCCGAGTAGTACTTTAAGTTACTGGCTGTATTTTGACATTGCGGGGACTCAAACACCTCGCCTTCTTAGTTTGCAATAAAAGGTTAGGGCGCCCTTAGCGCCCTGTTCACACAACAACAACAAAAATTGATCTTGGAAATATATAATAAAATAATTAAATTGAAACAAAAATTAGGTGTAAACAAGGAGCAAGTAGGTTATTTACCAACCCATTTTTGGTCATAACGAAAAAATAGATTGAATAGTAAACTTGTTACGATTTAAAAGTAGAAGGATATATTTGTGTACAAATATTAGTAGAAGGTTAAGTTTATTAATTGTCAAAGTAGAGGGTACATAATGCTATTAACCTTAATAAGAATGAAAAAATTACATAATTATGCAAATTTTCTGTGAACAAGTAGGCATGCAATTGATAGTAGGGGATTTCCTTTTTATAATTTATAAATTTTGAGCGATTGCTTTGTATTATTTATCTGTTTTTCAAATATAATCTTTTCAAGATTCTATCATTATCTTTTAGATTTATTCAATGATATATGATGTCATCGTGATTTTTTTTAGAAGTGATGTCATCGATCGTTAGTTATATCTGTGCGATGTGTGGTCAATATGCCCTGCCAAAAAATATATATATTTCTTTTTAAACTTTTGAGCAAGGTTGTCAACCCGCGGGTTGACCTGCGGGTTGACCCACTTTGATCCTAACCCGGTGAGAAAAACTGGTTGTACGCACCCGTCGGGTCGACCGCTATAATGTACCGGGTTGGAGGTCAAATTGTGCCATTTTTTTCTTTGTTTTGCGAAATGCGCCTATTTTTCGATTTTTCTTTTCGCCTAACTCAATCTTTGGAATCCCAAGTTGAACATTTGAATATTGATGTTATATAAGTGTGTGTGAATTTTCACTATATGTTGAATCTAAGTACGAAATGTTATTTTGGTGTAATATTATATGTTATAACTCATATGTTAGATGAGATTTGATATAATTTATCAGGATAAGTACAATATAATGACGCTTTCCATATTTATGGGCTAAACCGGACTAAAACGGGTGGCCCATTAACCTTTGACCCACTAGTTTAACCGGGTCCGGGTCAACCCGCGGGTTGACAACCTTGCTTTTGAGTAAAGGCAGAAAAAATGAAATCCCAACTTAGACCTTTTTATATAAAAAAAAATAAATATAAATGAACAGCTCTTAGGTATTATTATTGCTTTGCTGTGCTGCTGTTGGTGATGACAATAAACCATCGATCTAGCTATCTACCTCTCTCTCTCTCTCTCTAAAAAAAGAAAACCCAAAAAAGAGGTCGATCGGACGAGAGCCGGTGACGGAATGGGGGAGCAATATTATTATTACTCGCAGTTGAATCGAACCTCTCCCAGCCCCAGCCGCCTTCTCCTCCATCCGAAGAAAGGAAGCTCTTCCCAAACACCAAACGTCTCACCTTCCTCCTCTGCCGACCTCATGAGCAGCGGTCCCCACGCGCCGGCGCTATTTATCACTCCGTCGCTGGCGGCGGAGGAAGCCAGCTCCCCGAGCAGCAGCAGCAAGAAGTCGGCGTACAGAGGGGTGAGGACGCGGCCGTGGGGGAAGTACGCGGCGGAGATAAGGGATTCGACCCGGCGCGGCGCGCGGGTGTGGCTGGGGACATTCGACACGCCGGAGGCGGCGGCGCTGGCGTACGACCAGGCGGCGCTGTCCCTCCAGGGGGCCAAGGCCGTCCTCAACTTCCCCGCGGATGACGTCAGCAGGTCCCTCCGGGAGATGGGGTTCGACGCCGAACACTCCTCCCCTGCCCAGGCGCTCAAGAAGTCGCATTACATCAACCGCAAGGCCCTCCGCCGGCAGAACAAGAGAGACAAGGCCAAGGAGGCGGAGGAAGAAGAAGTGGTGGAGTTTGAAGATCTTGGAGCTGCTTTCTTGGAGCAATTGCTGTGCGAGAGCTCCTGCAGTAGCAGTACTACTGGGGCAAACTGCTTAACTTAAGTACTGGGGGTGGGGCAAACTGCACTTCAAAGAACTTCTTCATCTTGTCTTGACCGTCCATCTCAGGCTTTCTTCAGCTTATGTTATGATCATCATGTCCTAATTCATGACGATGCAGTATCAGTATGTGTGTGTATGTATACATAGTATTTTTGTACGTTAAATGTAAATATATAGTTGAATTACTCGATGATCAATTTTCTGTAGTCATTCATATCTGCAACTTTCCAATGGATTAATTAAGCAAATGGGGCGAAAGTTGAGTGGTACTCATGGGCCATGGGGGACCAGCGTCTTATTTCCTCTTTACGGAAGGTCTAATCTCACAATTCATCAACTTGCCAAATCCACTGCGAATAGTGTCATGTAATAGCAAGTAGAAGTAGTTACTAGTTAGTACCACTTTGGACAAAATGCTCCCAGAAAAAAGTGAATGTTTTATTGGGTTTAGGATAGAGTCAGTAATCATTTGGACCTTTAGATCTAAGTGGGTCCAGAAAATTCAGATATAAGAGTTGTCAATTAAATGCATTTTATTTTTTCTAGTTTTCTTAACCGGCTCTTATCTTCTTCGTTCTACCTCGAATTTCAAAATTTTTTTTTTTTGCACAGATGGAATGAGTTCGCCTGCTCTACAAAATGAGATCATTTTTCAATATATTTCGAGAAACTTTTGTTTTTACCAACTACATACAATATGATAACTTCTTCGTTTTTAAGTCGATTTTGAAAACGTTTGCTCGGAAGGAACGAGTTCATCGTGATCTATTGGATCTATAAATTTCTGGGTGAAAAAAATATTGGATAAAAAATTATCATACTTTACCATTATGGTATATAGGTGGTAACTTGTGGTCATTTGTAGTAAACAATGATGAAAGTCGTAAATGACAGTTAGTATACTCCTACTATCATGTATTCAACCTGCTTACCATATTGGTATGTTCATACCATCATGATACACTTTCTTACCATATGGTATTAAATAGGAGCATACCATATGGTAACGATTGGTAAAAAATTATTCAATTTTTTTTGTACTAAAAATATATCAAAGTGAATATCATTTTAAAGAGAACATTTAATCTGATTTATCTGTGCAAACAAATTAAATTTCGACTTAAAACGAGAGAGATATCGTCCGTTAAAGATTAAAGAGGAAAATATAAAAGACTTTACAAGAGAGAGAGGATATTAATGACTCATGCTGATGTGGACATGTTACTCATAAATACTGACCATAAAGTTACTGACCTGATCCGTTCCCGTTTTATTGCTGCTATTTTAGGCAAGAGTTACTTTATCCTATTGGCATGATCAATCCGTGTTAACTGTTAGGTGATGTACTTTAGAAAATTCAATCCACTTTAATTTTGGGTAGTTTTTGTGCGGTGATAGTATATATTTTAAGTATCCGAATCAAAAGTCATTTATGGATGGATTTTCTATAACCGCAAGAGGGTATGCCTGGGTAAGTCATACTACAACACCGGGATGGGATTAGGTGCTAATCCTTATAGGGGTTAGCACCGTGATAACTAGCAAAAAACGCTATTAAAAATAATGAAATCACTACGGATTATTATAAAATCAATACAACATCTAAGCTAAATCACTACTAATTCAAACTAGTAGTAGTTTTTCCCTTAGTTAGGACGGTGCTAACTACTGTACAATTAGCACCGTAGCCGTTCCCCTACAACACCACCTACGGAGATGAGAGTGTTAAGATTGAAAAATAGTTAGAAAAAAACAAATCATTTGGGAATAAGTCATTTACAAGTAATTCATTTATAACTTTTGTTGATAAACAAGTAATTTGATATCATAGCTCATATATATAGCATGCGAAAGACTCTTCAATGTCCTAATTCATCATTATTTTGCACCTGGTAATTTGCAACTCCGATCAGCACATGAAGATGGAGTGGGGTAGGTGCAGGGAGAGCAGGTAGCCTTTGCAGTTTACAAAAGGTCTAATGTCATAATTGAATTTGCAAAAATGAGGGCAGACGAGACGATCACAGGAAAAGTTGAAGAAAGGGACTGTTTTGTTTTGTCTGTCATCAATATATTGTGCCAATTAAATCCCCACAAAGGGGAATGTGTTTGTGGCTGCTATTTTTAGTAAGAGTTGGTGTCTCAGTCTCACCACCAGTCGGCAAACCAAGATCCGCCTTATCGTTTCCTTATTTCTTTCTTAATTGTCTTCTTTTGCCAGAACGGATTAGCATTATTTAATTTTGAGTAATCACGATAACTACCGACATAGGCGGAGCCAAGGATCCTGGGATAACAAAAAAAGTATCCCATATATGTATAAACTAAGTATCGAATTCATGATATCTAGGTAATATAAGAGTGTTATACCACTAAATTACAAGGCATTTCTTGTTTAAAGGCATACATGAATTTAATTTAACTCAAAATATGAAAATGTATCGTGGTTGTTTATTAAAATAGTGATTGTCTTGATTGGTTATTTCGATATTATATATGAATGGTATATTTGGGTATTATTATTTTTAATTATATTTAATATTTTTTATATTTTAAAAAGAGGACACGGGCACTTTCGAATCCTGACTCCGCCATTGGCTACCGAAATTTACACCCTTCATTATCTCGATTTCATCTTATTTTTAAATTGTCGGAAAGATTAAATTAAGAATACTTTTGAGAATGAAAAAGATACTACATCTAATTTCTATCCTTTAAAAAATAGATCTATATATATTAGGGCAAAATTTAGCTGCTACCCAGTTTGCAGCGTCTGGCTCCTACCCGCCCATGTGGCTCCAAGTAATTGGCTCAAAATTATATTTTCTTAAGTTTTAATTATTAACTGAAATGAGAAGAAGTGGAAACGAACGGATACAAGGTACCGTTACCCCTTGATTAACGGAATGTGTATGTATCCGTCTCCTCTCCGCCCCCTTCTAATCAAGCGTTTTGCTTAGCGATTAAAACCTAAAAAAATATAATTCTGAGCCAATTACTTGGAGCCACCTGGGCGGGTAGCAGGCAGACGCTGCAAACTGGGTAGCAGCTATATTATATACAAACCCTAGTGCAACCCCATTCTCCATCGCCATGAATACTTCCATCAACCTCTCTCTCCATGCACCACTGCTGTTGGTTCCCTTCCTCCCGCTACCGGCCACCATCACCTCCGCCCACCGGTGCCCTCCTCCCTCCTTCCCTATGCTCCTCTCTCTCTCTCTCTCTCTCTCTCTCTCTCTCTCTCTCTCTCTCTCTCCTCCGCCCACCACTACCCTCCTTCCCCCTTCCCTCCCACCACAGCAGGGGTCGGCCATTTCTCAAGCTCGAAGAAGAAGGTTATGTCGAAGGGGCTTTGATTGGGGAAATAAACCCTAATATAGATAGAATAATGGGAGGGAAACCACTTATTTTTCCCGCCCAAGCCATACTAACGATTAGTTGGCCTAAAAAATAGCATTTCGTCTTCCAGCTTAGCACCCCCGTTTGCCACATCGGCATAAGTATAACGACGTTGACGGAGTGTAATGGCGAGTGACCAATGATTAGATAAAGATGTATTATCGCTGGTTGAATTGAAGCGAAATTGATTCGGGTGGTTATGTTACAAAATTGTAAAATGGGTGACAAACTTGCAATTCACCCGACCAAGTAAATATCCCTAGTAATCAATTTCTGGCCTGGCTCATCATGAAGGATAAGATCATTACTAGAAATAAACTAATTGCATGGGGTAGGGGCATTGATTCAATTTGTGTCTTGTTTTCTGGAGGTAATGATTCACAAAGTCACTTATTTTTCGACTGTGATTACTCTTTAAAGGTAGCTAAGGTGGCAATGAGAGGTTTTTCCATGCTACTACTTGCTTTGCTTCTTCATCAGGTATCAGGAGTCAAGTCATTCTATTTTGTTGGTGTTGGTTACTTGTTGCTATTTGGAGAGAACTAACACGCCCCCTCAAACGAAAGCCCCCTCAAAGTTTGCACAGGTCTGAAGACAAGAATACCATGTGTTTAACAAATGGGGGTCACCGGGAATCGAACACAAGACCTCTCGGTCACAAAAGGCTCTGATACCATGTCATGAACCAGTTGATCCCAATAACTCGAGTTGTTGGGAGATGTTTTATCGTGGATCATATACCACAACACTAACTGCTTGCACCTTTCTTATATTTTTCGATTCTGGCTTTACCAAGTCGTGCTTAATGAGAACTACAGATTATAGAAACAAAATGGTTGTGAAATCTGAAAAAATGATCGCAAAGTTGTTTTCTAACTAAAATAAACGAGTCGCCATATTGAATTATTCCCAGGCTCGGCCCTGGGCCTGTGCTGGCCGGCCCCCAAACACGAGGCTTCAGGGAAAGTTGAGGCCTCAACCTGTATTGCTTATTTGTATTATGAGTTATGGGCTCTGGACATATATGGGCCTCTTCAATAAAAAAAATTCACACTTAGAACTAGGGATGGCTATGGGTCAGGTCGGGGACGGATAATGCATATCCGTTACCCTACCCAAAGTAGTTCGGGTTTTACACATACCCATACCCACATGTGAACGGGTAGAAAATTAAAACCATGTCCATACCCGCTTGGGTTTCGGGTATCCACGGTTATCCATGGGTAAGGATTTCTCTTCATAACTCCAACCAATATGTTAACAATCACACGTATTCTCACATTACGTAAGAGGAAAAGTATGACAATAATTCACTAGAATGAAGAAAATTAATTAAAACAACACAATTTCATGAAAATATTATATTTATATGTTAAATATTATATTTATATATTAAATATAAAATATGTTAGAGAAAAATAATGATTATTTCTAGACAAAATACATATGTATGTGAATAATCGGGTTCGGGTTGGATAGTGAGAAACCCATGCCCACCCATTACCCGCAATATTCGAGTTCGGGTTTTACCCGTACCCACTAAATGTCCTTCGGGTTCGGGTTTTACCCTACTCGATTAAGCCGGGTTCGGGCGAATATCCACTGTTACGGATATTTTTGCCCTCCCTACCTAGAAAAAAAAAATAATTACTTATTGTGTGGACTAGAATGCCTACCTACTAGGTTACCACTCCGCCAAGAGGGACATACGCAACGGGCTAAGAGATTTCTTTTTTGTTTGAGCAAACGTTATTTATATTATAAAAATAAATAAATTAAAAAAATATATACGTTTAATTCTATTAATTTATCCGCACAAATATATGCATTTTCCATTGCTAGTCATCCTTTTTTTTAAAAGCAACAGTAAGAGCTTATTTAGGTGTTTTAGCAACAATTATCTTCCTTTTATCTAGAGAAACAGTAAAAAGAAATATTATATAACAATTATTTCAAACACATACTTATTATAAATATTAGCAAAAGAAAGATTATATAGGAATTATTTCCAACTAACGCATACTTATTATAAATAGTTAACAATTGGAACAATTTTTTAGACTCAATAATTCAAAAGCTAAATAATCTTCTTCTAATGTCTTCTCTATTACCGTATAACCTCTATAAATTAATATAGTCTGGACTGTAAAAACTATTAATTTATAACCATTATTAATTAAACAATATATTAATAATTATAAATTTAAAGAGGTTTTTCTTATGATGTACGTTCATCGTATCTTCCAACCATTTCAAGTTCATACGATAACTTATCGCATTCTACGTAGTCATTGTACTAAAATTTAATAGAAAAAAATTATGTATTCTTGTAGATGGTTTAAATTCATGTTTTAAATTACTTGCACCCCTATATTCAATGATTATACATTCAATATAATTCATTGAATGTATGGTGACCCGATCACTATAAATAGTACTAACAATTGCTTCTCATTTGAAAGGTGTCCAAAACTCCACCATGACCGATCAAATACGTAAATAGTTACGTGAGTACAAGAGAGATCATCCCTCGTGCACCCAAAAAGATTTGATGGCGTGGGTTGACCAAACTTACCATTTGAAAGTTAGTCAATATGAACTACTATTAGACTTCATATTCCAGAATAAACAAACAACTATATATTCATATTTTTTTTAATTATCCTAGCTATATTATAAATTTATATATGAATTATATTTTTATATTTATAATTTATATAGTTAAAAATACATGTATTTATGTAGGTTGGTTCTCAAAAATTATTATCTTATTATTTTATTAAATTTGCTCATTTTTTACACTGGCCCAAGTCGGGACCAGAGAAATTATTAATTTATCGATATCAATTTAAAGAGGTTATACTGCATATGATATCTCACTCTTCTAAAAAATTTCTCCCAAAACATATTTAGGTCTATTTTGTGAATTAACTAGTTGTCAATTAACTTATTGTTTGGTTTCATTTTCTCTTAATTGATTAATTCTGCTATACTTTATTTTATATTTTATTAAATTATTAAAATAAAATTTGAGCCTCATTTTATTTCCAGAACATGGTCTCAAAAATTTCAGGCCGGCCTGTTTATTACCTTGCCTATCCGTACCTAGTAAACCACTTTACTATAAACTATATCTTTATAAGTAAAATGAATAAACATGGGTTTGGATCTCGTTAGTAACCAATGTTTATTGACGTATGCTTATTTTTTCCAATTAAAATGTTAGGAGCTATATCTTTTTCACTTTGATTCATAATACACATTATGAAAAATCAGATTAATTAGATTCTTCAAAGTAACATCTACTTTTATATATTTGGAAATATCATTCTTTACCATCTTATACCTAAGTGGTTATATGATCTCATACTTTTTCAGAAATATATATAATTTTATAAATTATGATGAACCCGTTCCTTTTATGCAAAAAAATTCAAAATTTGAGCTAAACGAAAGTGATACAGAGTGGTAACGGGCTTTTTCTCGAAATATATAAATTTTTTTAAATCAAAGTGAACTCGTCGTATTTGTGCAAAAATTTCAAAATTTCGATTAAAAAAAAAGTAAATACAAATCGATTAAACTAGAAAAATTCGGATCAAAGTGAACCCTTGTTTATCCTATTCTTATGAAGGTTGTTATTTGCCGCCCGATAGATTACTATTTGCCGCCCACAGTTTTGAAGCAAATGACTTTTTTGCCCTCGAACCACAATTGTCATTCGCCAGCAACAATTTCCGCCGACTGTAAATCCAGCCGCCATAAATCTCCGCCGGCCGATCGACCTCCTCCACGACCAAAACCTCACCTACGATAGCTTCCTTCCATCTTTCCGGAATCACCGCCGACCATAAATCCCTCCAACCACAAACCCAAGCGCTGTCGTCCAACTTGAAGTGGCGTGGTTGTTAATTAGGGAAGATTGTTAATTAAGAACATTTCCATATTGTCTCATTTAATTATTTCCTTTATTATCAATGGTTGTTAATTGGGGAAACGGATGTATGTGTGGGTTAATTAGAGAATTTTGATATTTAGTAATAATTTAATACAATATTTAAAAACTAAATACTAATTATGAATCAATAATTAACTTTTGGGAAAGAAAAATCGGCGAACAAGTCCGACATCGGGAAATGTACGCCAGGCACCGGTCCGACGCCGGCGGGAGGACCCCGTCCGACGCCGGCGGGCGGACCCCGTCCGACGCCGGCGGGCGGACCCCGTCCGACGAGGGCGGGTCGGACCCCGTCCGTCGCCGGTGGGCGGACCTCGTCCGATTGCAGGCCGACCATCCATCTCCGTTTCCAGCGACGACCGCCCATCTCCGTCTCCGGCAAGGTCTTGCTCCCGCGGCGTATCCCTCGCCGCAGCTGCACAAAAGAAGAGGAAATCGAGAGCTCGGAATGCGGGTGAAGATGGTGGATGAAGCGTCGTAAAGAAAAATGAGGAAGGCGAATCCTTGCCGGGAATTGCGGGTAAAAAAAGAGGAAGGCGAATTTAATCCTAGTCAGGATTTGAGGAAGAAAAAAGAGTAAGATGAGGCTGGCGGTTCCATTCTTTCTCCACTGCAGCGGCAACAAAATTTGGCCAGCTATTCCGAACGGCGGCCACAGTAAAAGGATGGGGTAGTTTCAGTTAGGTTTTAATTCGTTGAAGGGCAAATTAGACTTTTTTTCTTAAATTATGGACGGCAAATAGTAAATAGTCGAGCGGCAAATAACTATTCACATTCTTATCTGCAGCTAGCTAGACCGCAAGCAAGCCTAGCTATCTAGCCAGAGACCTAGTTAACGCTTAGTTCAAGTGTGATCCTTTGGCTCTACGTCGTTGCTCATGAAGTGATAATAATCAATGCCCTTTACCTAATTCTGCAGTACAGCTAGCTTCTTGGTTTGCTGTTAGTAGGAAAATAAGTCTTTAGATAACAACAAAATGGTACGTGGGTTCATTTCCCTTTCAATTAAAGGGACCTCTCTCTCCGCCATCGTCATCATGATCAATCCCTTTCATGAAGAAGCCAGCAAGAGTCAACCAGCTGTAAAGGATCGAAGTTGTTACGAAGACTTGTTTTTATGCAAGCAAGAAAAACAATCTTTGTAGCAACTTCGAGCATTTTGTTTGAAGGCTTACAGGTATCCAATCTTTTATCCATTGTCTTGAATTTTTATAAAAACATACCTATTTTAACGTGGTAGAGGCCCCTGGATTCGACTCACATCCATGCTTCTCGAATTGAGCTCCAAAGTAGACTTCACAAACACGTTCCCAGACTTAGCCATTTTCAGGCAGTTTCCCAGTTTTGGCATAGCCTTTTGATCAGGTTCAAAAATGGTCTTCTGGACTTTCTATCGAGCTCCCAAGTACTGTAATGTGTAGAGGGACACTTCAGTTTCAAAACAAGTCATTAATCTCCAATTTCCATCTAGCCAATTGTAAGATATGAATCTCCAAAGTAGGCACCATGAAACTGTTTTTACACTGAAACAATAGATTAGGTCGACCTAATCCTACATGAGGTCGACCGAAAAGTGCATGTCACCGTAGCAAAGTAGACACTCTTTATCTATCAATCCAGTAGGTTGAATAAAGAATCGACCTACTACTTAGTAAACCAATCAATGTTTCTTCGTTTTAAGATAAAATTAGGTTGTGATAGTTGCAAAAATCATAAACCTAAAAATCCAATAGCCACCACTTGTACATCCAAATTTTTATCTCGAGAGGCAGATGTTTCAACCAAAAATAAAATTTCTAATCCTCCTTCTACAAATCCATTCATTGAAATCCATTCTAATCGCCATGGATTGATATCGAAGTTGAAATCTTCTACTTGCCCATCTTAAATCCCCAACAATAAAACCATAGTGTCAAGAGATACCGGAAGATTGATTTTCAAAGGCGGCCTTGTACTGGGAACTTAAAAGGGCGCAAAATTTTGAAAGAGATAAGAACAAAGATAAAAAAAAAAATTGAAAATTGCAAGGACAAAACACGTAGTAATAAAATTAGTTTCTTCCATGAGATGGACCACTTGGCGTGCTTTATGTCGCCATAAATCAGTGGGGGGCTTGGCTTTCGTGACTTAGACTCCAATAACATTGCATTGCTTGCCAAACAAGCCCGGAGGATCGTCCAGGATCCAGATAGCCTCTTAGCTACCACATACAAAGGCAGGTATTTTCCCAACTCCTCTTTTCTTCATGCTACTGTGGGTACGCGCCCTTCATGGGCATGGCAGGGTGTTCTTTTGGGTAGGGATCTTTTGGCCCAAGGTCTTCGTTGGTTAATTGGTTGTGGAATTTCGGTTCACATTACGAATGATGTTTGGCTTCCCACTTCCCCTCCTTCTAAGCCGATTCTGCTTCCTAGGGTTGTCTTACCTGACTCATTTGTTTCTTGCCTAATAAATCATGGTCAAGGTTCTTGGAAGGAGAACGTTCTTTCATACCTCTTTGATACTGCCACTGTCAAGATCATCATGGCTATTCCTCTACCGATTTTTCCTGTGGCTGACCACTTGATTTGGCATTATGAAGTTTCAGGTGAATATTCTGTGAAATCTGGTTATCGTTTAGCTGCGGCTGAGTACATTGTTGATGTTTCCACGATTCCATCGTCCTTTGACTGCCGCTCTTGGAAGTTTCTTTGGTCCCTTCCTGTTCCCCCAAAGCTAAAAATTTTTCTTTGGCGCGTGGTTAAAGGGTTTCTCCCTGTTCGAGATGTGTTTCGTGATAAGGAATTGATAGCTGATGATGATATTGAGGCTTACGCTTGTCCTGTCTGTGGTGGTGAGGCAGAGACTCTTGCTCATTGTTTTTTGCATTGTCGGATTGCTTTGGAGTTGTGGGATTTGTTGGGGTACAATCATATTCTTGCTCAAATTTGCTTGTGCCATGTTGCGATAGATTGGCGTAGGCTATTTTTTGATGCAAGTTTATCCAAAGTAGAGATTTCACGGTTGGTTTTTCTGTACTGGAGGCTCTGGAAGTCCAGATGTTCGGCTACTTATGATGGTATTCAGTATCTCTCTCATGTTTTATTACGTCATTATTACTCTCAGGTTGCTGAATGGGTGCTAGCACAGGCTCATCCGGAGAGATCTTTGCCTCGTTGTTCCCCTGTTTCTAGCGGGGTTTTACCTCGTGATCACCCCCCTCCTTCCATACCTCCTGGTTCAGTGTTGGTTCACTTTGATGGTGCCACCAAATCTTTGGTCGGATGTGCCATTGGTTTTGTTGGCTTTGCAGAGGCTAATAACTCTATTTTTGCTTGGGGGCGTTTTATTCCGAATATTGATGACTCATTTCTCGCAGAGCTCCTGGCCCTTCGCGACTCCTTACGTTGGTGCATGGCTCACTCGATCACTAATGTTTCATTTTGTGGGGATGCGCAGGTGATCGTTCGGATGATTAATGCGAAGGACTCGGCGCACGCGGTGGGCGGAGCTCTCCTCCAAGAGATTCAGGTGTTGCGGGCTTCTTTCCTTCGTGCAACGTTCCATTTCGCTCTCCGTAGGTATAATAGGGCTGCCCATATCGTGGCAAGACAAGCCCTTGGAGCGATGGTGCAGACACTTGTCGACCATCGTGTTTTATTTATTTAATTTTCCTAGCCTGGTCTTAGGAGGCCTTGTATTTTGTCGTATCTTTGCTGCTTCCCTCTCGGGGTAACTTTGGAAAAAAAATATTTTCTTCCATGTTAGTCAATTACCAATTTACCTTAAGCGAAAATTAAGGAGAGAGCAGAGATTTTAAAATTGAGAAAATTACATGAAAATCTGATATGAAAATTGAAGTATCAAGAACCATAAAAAACATACGGAAGATTTAGTGGTCTTGCTAATCATGATGGAAAAGTCCTTCGATTTTCAGAGTTAAACTTCGTGTATGTTTTGTACTAAAACAAAGATATAAAAAATTTGTTAAGAGTAATTTTTTGTAATTATTGTCTTTGTTTCAAGAGACCCGAGTTCAAATATAGGTATTGATGCTTTTTAACTCTGATTTTGGGTATGGTGAAATTCCAACTAGTCAAATTATATTTGAGTAATTTTACTTTTGAAATAGATTTATACCTAGTATTTTATTTGGGTCTAAATTATACATAGTATTGGTTTACCAAAAAAATGGATATCCAATTCAAATGAGTTTTTGCCTTATTTTTTGTTATGAAATAAACAAAAAGGTGGAAACCAAACATAAAGGTGGATTCGAATTGAAGAGTTAATGAGTTGAACATAAAGGTGGAAACCCTGCTCTTGGATGAAACCCTAACTTCTCCTCTTCTCTTGTTCGTCACCTTCTCACTCTAGAAATCTGAAGAAGAAGAAGACGAAGAAGTCTCTCTCACTAGGTTCCTCCTCCTTCTCTTTCAGCTCAGCCCCCTTTATATACCGAGATCTAGTGATGGCAATGGGTCGGGCGGAGCGGGTATCTCAATACCCATGCCCCACCCCATGCTACTACGAGTTGAGGCGCGTAATACCCACGCGGGTACGGGTCGATCCACTCTTACATGTTATTTGAAAAAATACAAGCCAAAATTTACTTTTTACGAGAAAACGAAGGGGGAAAAGACTTCATGATTGAATAATAGTGATAATATAATGGGTAATTGGGCTTATTTAGTTGAAAATCAAGTCTAACTAGTTGAAGAAAAGCCAAAATATGAGATATATGAATGGATATCATAAGAAATTGACCTAGAACAGGGCGGGGCGGGGAAGGGCAAGGCAGGTCGAAAGTTGATGTCCGTGCCCCGCCCAATGCTACAGCGGGTCGGGTAATACCCGCCCCATCGCGGGTCAGGTCGGGTAATACCCGACGGGGCGGGTTCAAATTGCCATCTCTACCCAGATCGACGGTGTTTCACGGTCTAGTTCAAGGTCGTGAACATTTGGCTTGGACTCTGATGTCGAGCAAAGACGCACTGTTTCATTAAGGTGCTTCATGGTATGGAGTTGGTCTTCACGGTCAAGCGACCGTGAGCTGCTTTATGCTCGCGAGATGGACTCCTCGCTCTTTACGGCCAACGCCTCTTCTTCACAGTCTGGATGACCGTGAACCTCTGGCCTCCACAATGAACTGATGTTGTTGCTCCCTTTTGATTGGTTTCCGCCCCTTTTCGTCCAACTTTTGTTCCATGAATTGATTTCATCTACTAAAAACAACCACAACCTAGCGTAAAACCGAACCTCATAGAGTAAAGTACCTCAAACATCTAAGGGAAAAGGGGGTAAAAAGTATACAAATAGACCGGAATCAATCATCGTGCCACGTTTTATGTGTTGAATGCTTGAGTTGTGATTGAGTTACAGGCAGGGTTGAATCAATTGAGTATTGAGAATTGTGGATTTGCCTTGTTTTGATGATTATCACGGTCAGCCAACCGTGATAAAGTTGTGGAGACCGTGATCTTGACATGCATTTTATACAATTTGCAGACATCACGGAAGAATGATGATTATCACGGGCATATGTTCGTGACATCAGACCAACCGTGATGTTGGTACAAAACTCACTATTTTTGTCGAGATCATGCTCACATAATTATTATCATGATCAGTCGACAGTGATAATTTACTCTCGTGTGTGATCCCGAACCTCGGGCTATATAAAGGGTTCGTGATCACTTCCCTTTCACGAGTTGCAGATTGCCGGAATCCTTTGAATCTTTCGCTGGAAAGTGTTGCTTTCGCGGGTTTTTCAAAGATTTGATCCACTGATAACGATGTAATTGCACATGTTTGCACCCCTAGTTCTTATCCGTTTGAGGGGCATAGTTGTGTGCTTTTGGCCTATTTTACGCCGGGTTGTGCTATTTTGTCATGTTTCAGGTCCCAGGTGTCAAAGGGAAGGCTAAGCGCGAGTTTCGGGGCATTCGGAAGTCATTTCGGTGAGCTGGAGCCAAAACACGGGCACACCTAAATCATTACACGGCCGTGTTCTGGTGGCCGTGCTTTTTATGCCGAGAGCTGAGCTGATTACACAGGCAGGGCCGAGACAAAGCACGGCCGTGTTCCACCAAAGCACGGCCGTGTCCAACGCGAAGCACGGCCGTGTTTCTCCTAGTGTAATTAACACTAGCCAAAGCACGGGCGGGCTGAGGCATTACACGGCCGTGCCCTCGATCGTGCTTTGGCCACTGATGCTTTTAAGCAGATTTTCAGCCACAATTCAAGGGGATTCGAGTTTTTGAGAGATAGAACGATTCCTAGAGAGAGAAAGTGACGAGCAAGAGTTCCCAAGTGCCCTAGATTGATCTTCAACACCATTGGAGGCCAGCTTGAACTTGGAGAAGTGCCGATCAACATCCAGAAGCAGGAATCCATCCTTCACAGTATGAATTCCGCGTCTGATTCTGCTTTTGCTTTCTTCTCCATGGAGTAGTTCTCCCATTCATCTGGGTATGGAGAACCCTAGATTTGTATGTTAGGTTTGATTGTATGAACCCAAGTACTGATTCTATGATTGATTATATTCGATTGAGGTTTTAATGATTGAATGACTTGAATCCTGATCAAATTCCTGTTGTTTCTGCTTTAACCTAGAATGAGAATATCTGGCTAGGTTGATAGAGTATCCTTGATTGAAGGTAGGGAGTTGGTGACTTTAGTCGAGGAACCAACTCACTATTCTGTACCGGATTTACTCCGGTAGTGGAGGTTTTGTTCTTAGGGCCTCAATCTGTCTACTCCGGTGGAGGTTAGTCGCCCGCTAGAGACTCAGATTGAGAGGGTCTGAAGACCTTTAGTCGAGACTTCAGGCTGTTTAAGAACCTTCCGCAGTATAACTATCATAGAAACTGAACTTGGTAATTACAATCCGGCTTAACTGCAGTCTAGGGGGAACCATATCCGGGTGACCTCTCTTAACCTGAATACAACAGTTTACTTGCTTTGTTAGTTTGATAGTTTAGACTTGCATTCCAGTTTCATTGCTAGATAACACGAATTCACTGAGTAGTCATCATATCTAGGACCCGGGTTGATAATTAAACCCAAACCCGCTATACTACGCTTTAGGAAGTGGTTTCACTTGGCCAATTCCTGGAGTGACAGTAGAGTCGAGTCAAGTTTTTGGCGCCGTTGCCGGGGACGGCTAGGTTGTTGAAGAAAAGTGATTTCTGTTAATTTAGCCTTTTTCTTTTTGCTTTGTTTGCTTTGTCCCACTTGTGCCTTCACGGGTTTGCTTGCTTGAGAGTGTGCAGATAGTGCATGACCCGTAGCCAGTCGGGAGGTTTACTGCCGTTGAATCCAGAGATTGACCGCACCTGTCGCCAGCTCAGGAGACAACAGCGAGCTAGACTGGCTACGGAAGAGCGCATAGACGGCTACGTGAGCAGTGATTCTGAAGAAGAGCACGGGATGGACGGAGAGTACAATCAACACCAGGGGAATCCTCAGCAGGCTCCCCCGGTGAATCAGGTCCTGGGGAACAACCCCATACCCCAGGATCATGGAGTTCATCATCCACCGCAGCCGGGTCCCACCTTGGAGTACTACTACACTCCGCGGATTGCTGACATCCGCCCGGTCATCCTCTACCCGCCTATCCCATCAAACAACTTTGAGATCAAGCCATGCTGGATTCAGCTCATTACATCTTCCATCCAGTTCCATGGCTTGAAGGATGAGGAGGCCAGGGTACATCTGTCCCGTTTTCTGCAGCTGACGAACGAGTTCAAGATGAATGGTGTCCCGGATGATGCAATCCGCCTTCATCTTTTCCCCCATTCTCTGGCGGGGAATGCTAAGAGGTGGTTGGAGACCCAGCCCCCATTGTCCATCACCTCTTGGGACGATCTGGCGGACAAGTCGTGCACAGGTATTATCCGGCATCGAAGACTACAGAGATCCAGCGGGAGATCACTCACTTCCGCCAAGAGCCAGATGAGTCACTTCGTGATGCGTGGGAGCGGTACATGGGCTATTTCTGGCAGTGCCCCCATCATGGCTTCAGCGATGCATTCACAGTGGGGAACTTCTACAGTGCCCTCTCTCCAGATAGCCAGAGGGTGATTGAATCTCTATGCCCAGGAGGGGATGTTCTCACTAAGACTCCACCAGAGCTGAACCAGATGATTAATACATTGGCTGCCAGAGATCATTCCTGGGGGCAGAGTAACAGGGGCAGACAGTCCCGGGACCGTGGTGTGCACGCCATGGAGACCAGATCCGGGCTCGAGCAGCAGGTAGCTGAGCTAGTGCAGACATTGAAGCAGCCTAACAGTCTGATTCCGGGCAGAGGTTTGGCTACACCTCCAGTTGCTCAGTGCCAGTGGTGTGAGAGCTCCAATCACCTAGTGGAGGACTACCAGGCTATGAGGGAGTCTACCACACCCCAGAAGCAGTTGGCCTTCATCGTCAATGCGCGACGCCTCGATCCATACAGTAACACATATAATGAGGGGTGGCGCCAGCATCCTAACTTTGCCTGGAGCAGCAACACCACTAAACCACCTGGTTTCCCAGCACCAGCAGGTGGTTTTCAGCAGAGGCAGCCCTTCCAGGCTCGCCAGGGGCCAGACCCACAGCAGCAGCCCTACCAGCCTAGGCAGGGGCAGCCATTCCAGCAGCCCCAGCGCCAGTTTGCCGAGCCAGCAGTAGCTCCAGCTCCAGATGACAAGATGACGAAGCTGGAAAACATTCTAGCTTCATTCATGACGAGCACTCAGGCGACTATCACGAGGTTGGACCAGAGTGTAGCCTCACTGGAGGCAGGTCAGAGGAACCAGGGTGCCATTTTGCAGGATTTACAGACCCAGGTGGGCATCTTGGCCCGCCAGAGCACCACCAGGGCACCGGGGACTTTGCCTGCCACCACTGTCCCGAATCCTCGAGATCCTCACCAGTATCAGCAGCTGGATGCCATTTTTACCAGGAGCGGTAAGGTCATATCTGCTGATCCTGTCCCGGCCAGGCAGGAGGAACCACTGCCTGCTTCAACACTTCTAGCCGACGATGCAGAAGTGCGGGTGGAGCAGGAAGCCCCTGCTCCCAAGCCACAGCCAGTGGTTAAGGAGCATGTGCCCCAGCTTCCCTTCCCCACTCGCCTACACAAAGACAAGCTGGAGACTGAGTTTGCCAAGTTCATGGCAATGTTGAAGCAGCTCAACATCAGCATACCGTTCGTGGAGGCACTGTCGAAGATGCCCAAGTATGCCAAGTTCATGAAAGATCTCTGCACCAACAAGAAGAAACTTGGGGATCTCTCGACAGTGATGCTGAGCGAGGAGTGTTCTGCTATCCTGCAGAACAAGCTGCCCGAGAAGCGCCAGGATTCAGGGAGTTTTACTATCCCTCTTACTATTGGCAGCATGCATGTAGGCAAGTCCTTGGCGGACCTAGGCGCTAGCATTAATGTCATGCCATATAAGTTGTACAAAAAGCTACACCTAGGTGAACTTAGCCCTACTAGGATGAGCATTCACTTAGCTGATCGTTCTATCGTGCATCCTAGGGGTATCATTGAGGATCTGCTTGTTAAAGTAGGTACATTCACATATCCTGTTGATTTTATTATTCTTGATATACATGAGGATGTGGATGTACCTTTGATTCTAGGTAGGCCATTTCTCGCCACCGCCAAGGCACTTATTGATGTGCATGATGGTAAACTGATCCTGCGTGCTGGGGATGAACATGCTACTTTTTCTGTGACTGAATTTGATCACTGTGCTATGATTGCTGTCACGCCTGTGCATGCCATTTCTGATAAGGTACACGAGTCTGTCGTGTACCCTTCTGCACCTCCTATTTTGCAGGACCCTCCTATCATTCCTTCGCCGCCACTCCATCCAGCCACGCCTCCGAACAAAAAGCTCAAGGAGGAGTGGCGGCCGAAGCAGCAGGTTGCTAAGCCTGCACGGAAGAAGAGTGGAGACCACTATGAGCTGGTCCCACCCCCTGCACCACGACCACCCTGGCCGTCTGGGTACTCACTCGCCTGCATCTTGCCAGATGGGCAGGTCGAGCTGACTGATGATGGTGGTCGCATCCGTCGGGTGCATGGCCATACCCTGAAGCTGTACCTCAAGAGCGACGTGGATCCGCTCTTGGAGGCACCTGTTCCTGCACCGCCCTGAGTATCCACCATG